TGCACTCTCTCTCTCTCAAAAAAAAAATAAACCTAAAAAAAAAAAAAAAGTTGTGTAATAGCTAAAGCAATCCTCTGTGTCATGCCCAGTCCCTAAAGAAGTTCTAAGAGGGTCTATTGGGTTTTCCTCAGTGACGCCTGTAGCTCCCCTTCAGGTCAACATCTTCGCTTTAAGCTTCCGCAGCTATGTCTGCAGGTGTTTCTTCATCCCTTCAGGATCAGGTGTTCCCTCTGGCTCTACTTATTCTAGGCATTCTTTTTTTTACCAGAATGACAGAGCACCCTGATCTTAGCTCCTGAGTTTAATCCTATTAGGCAGGTAGGCAGAGATAGTCCACTGGCTTTTTAATATAATGTGTGCTTCACCCCCTCTTCTCCTCATTCCCCAAAGATTATGTTTCTAAGTAGTTTTTCACAAGCCAGGTCTTTTTTTTTTTTTTTTTTTTTTTTTTTTTTTCACCAACCATTTATTTTTTTTTTTTTTTTTTTAGCTTTCATCCACTCCACGGATTTAGTTTATTTCATTTTATAATGAGCACCAGCAAATGCGCCTCTCAAACCAAGAACTCGAATATCACCATTAACAACACATCTTACGTACCCCCTCCCATTTCATCCCCACCCCTGACTTCCCTCAGAAATAGCCACTAGCTGAATTATACAGTTAGCATCTTCTTGCTTTTTTTCCCTTACCTTATCACATTTATGATACTTTTGCTTGCCTTTAAACTTTACTTGTTTATATTTTTTCTCTTTTTTTTTTCTTTTTTAATTTACATCTAAGTTAGTTAGCATATGTTGCAACAATGATTTCAGGAGTAGATTCCTTAATGCCCCTTACCCATTTAGCCCATCCCCCCTCCCAAAACCCCCTCCAGTAACCCTCTGTTCTCCATATTTAAGAGTCTCTTATGTTTTTGTTCCCCTCCCTGGTTTTATATGATTTATACTTCCCTTCCCTTATGTTCATCTGTTTTGTATCTTAAAGTCCTCATATGAGTGAAGTCACATGATATTTGTCTTTCTCTGACTAACTTCGCTTAGTATACTACCCTCTTGTTCCACCCACGTAGTTGCAAATGGCAAGATTTCATTCTTTTTGATTGCTGAGTAATATTCCATTATGTATATATATACCACATCCTCTTTATCCACTCATCCATCGATGGATGTTTGCGCTCTTTCCATACTTTGGCTATTGTTGATAGTGTTGCTATAAACATGGGGGTGCGTGTGCCACTTTGAAACAGCATACCTTTATCCCTTGGATAAATACCTAGTCGTGCAATTGCTGGGTCGTAGGGTAGTTCTATTTTTAATTTCTTGAGGAACCTCTATATTGTTTTCCAGAGTGGCTGCACCAGCTTGTATTGCCACCAACAATGCAAAAGAGATCCTCTTTCTCTGCATTCTCGCCAACATCTGTTGTTGCCTGAGTTATTAATGTGAGCCATTCTGACAGGTGTGAGGTGGTATCTCATTGTGGTTTTGATTTGTATTTCCCTGATGATGAACGATGCGGAGCATTTTTTCATGTGTCGGTTGGCTATCTGGATGTCTTCTTTGGAGAAATGTCTATTCATGTCTTTTGCCCATTTCTTCACTGGATTATTTGTTTTTTGGGTGTTGAGTTTGATAAGTTCTTTATAGATTTTGGATACTAACCCTTTATCTGGTATGTCGTTTGCAAATATCTTCTCCCATTCCATCGGTTGCCTTTTAGTTTTGCTGATTGTTTCCTTCGCTGTGCAGAAGCTTTTTATTTTGATGCGGTCCCAATAGTTCATCTTTGCCTTTGTGTCCCTTCCTTGCCTCCAGAGACGTGTTGAATAAGAAGTTGCTGTGGCCAAGATCAAAGAGATTTTTGCGTGCTTTCTCCTCGAGGATTTTGATGGCTTCTTGTCTTACATTGAGGTCTTTCATCCATTTTGAGTTTATTTTTGCGTATGGTGTATGAAAGTGGTCAAGGTTCATTTTTCTGTATGTCACTGACCAGTTTTCCCAGCACCACTTGCTGAAGAGACTGTCTTTTATTCCATTAGATATTCTTTCCTGCTTTGTCAAAGATTAGTTGGCCATACGTTTGTGGGTCCATTTCTGGGTTTTCTATTCTGTTCTCTGAGTGTCTGTTTTTGTGCCAGTACCATACTGTCTTAATGATTACAGCTTTGTTATACAACTTGAAGTCCAGGATTGTGATGCCTCCTGCTTTGGTTTTCTTTTTCAAGATTGCTTTGGCTATTCGGGTCTTTTCTGGTTCCACACAAATTTTAGAATTGTTTGTTCTAACTCTGTGAAGAATGCTGGTGTTATTTTGGTAAGGATTGCATTAAATATGTAGATTTCTTTGAGTAGTATTGACATTTTAACAATATTGTTCTTCCTATCCAGGAGCATGGAATATTTTTCCATTTTTTGGTGTGTGTCTCCTTCAATTTCTTTCATAAGCTTTCTTTTGTTTTCAGTGTACAGATTTTTCACCTCTTTGGTTAGATTCATTCCTAGGTATTTTATGGGTTTTGGTGCAATTGTAAATGGGATCGATTACTTGATTTCTCTTTCTGTTGCTTCATTGTTGGTGTATAGGAATGCAACCGATATCTCTACATTGATTTTATATCCTGCAACTTTGCTGAATTCATGAATCAGTTCTAGCAGTTTTTTTGGGGGAATCTTTTGGGTTTTCCACATAGAGCATCATGTCACCTGCAAAGAGCACAAGCCAGCTCTTACTTTTTCTAGGTGTATAGATGGCTGATAGATGTGGGGACAGGGATGTCAGCCAAAAATTCTCTCTCCAGCTGAGGCACTCTATTTAGGAAGTGCCATGATTTGCAGAGCAAATATGTAGACCAAGGGCGTAACAGTTTTCTCACAACTGAAACCAATCTATAGCTCATAGGTTAGGTATCTGTAGTAACATCTGCTTTGATGCTTTGGAGGGGTGAGATAGAGTAGCAGTTAAGACTAGCTCTGGACCGATAAACATAAGTTAAATCTTGGATCTTCCACTACATAATTGTGTGACCTTGGAGATCTTCTAAACCTCACCTATTAAATGAGCATAACAATAGCTTCTTTCTCATAGTGTTATTGTGAGTATTAAGGATATAATACATATGACTGGCTCCCTTAGCTCTGTGCCTGACCCACAGTAACGAGTGAACGTTAACTATAATTATTTAGCCTCATGTACAAGATAACAGTAGTTACTAGGCATAATCTCTAATATAATATAGAATATATAGTGCATAGACTTACTTTTTAAAAAACTATATATGGAAAATAATGTCATACTTTCTGTGACCTAATAGTGTTTCATTTTAGTTTTTTTATAGTAACTAATGTTTCCTGTGAGATATTGACATAACATAATGCATAGTATGATCTTTCACTTTTAAGTGCTGTGGCAAGAAACCTGAGATGGAAAAATCTTCCTGGAGATTAGAATTTGCCGCAAACCACAAAATAATTTCATCGAATAGGCAGTTTAAAATGAGTCACAACTCAGTCACTGTGGCATTGCAGATACACTTAGGGCACCCTGCCATGGGCATAGCTTTCAGGAGAGGCAAAGAGTGAGGCACTGCAGATCACAGCCATGCAGGGAGGGAAGGACAGTCAGGCGTTAACCAAGTGATAGACTTCTAAAGAGTGAGAGCATGAATTCCAGATGTATAGATTTCGGTCATACCTTTCAACTCTTCGTAAATTATCTATCTGATTTATAACTATATAAATCATTGTGGTATTTGGGTTAAAAGTAAGGTAATTTAGTCTTGGGTTTTCCATCTTCCCATGTGTAAATCATTTGAACGGTATGCAAATAATTCCCTATTTGAGGCTCCCAGAAAAAATACCTCCATTTCTATCTCTGTACATCATCACCAGCCATAATGAATAGGTCTGCAAGAGTGTGCCAGGAGCCCCTGCCAAGCACATTCTTCAAGGGAGAGAGGCAGTGTAGCCTACTGGGGACAGTGCTGGATTACAAGCTGTCACAATGGTGTCTCACTTCCTAGTAGGTCAGTGGCATCCCTTTTCATGTTACCACATTCTCTTTAGTCAGATGCTATACCACAAGAAGAATTATAAAGTTACACAAGTGTCTTGGAACCTAACAAAGTTTATCATCGTTATTGGGCTAAGATTTGAAAGTCAGGCTTTGCCAGTAAGCCAGAGAGTCAGGTGACTATGGCTTCATCTCTGGAGCAGCTCTCTTCTGGATGTTCTGTGGGGAAAATTCAGCTGTTTCTTCCATGATCAGATTTTGAAAGGTGCTGGGGGAAGACGAGGACTTAAAAAGCAGCCTCCGTTAAGAGTGCTCATTTTTATCAAGGGATTTTAGTTTGGTATTATGTCAGCTGGGTTAAATTGAATCTTGTTTTCTCAAAATCACTGGGATCACAAAATTTGCATTGGCCCAGTCCACACTAGTGCTATCCTTTTTCCTCAAAGCATCCTCGGAGCTTTCTGTTTTTCTCTTGTAATGAGGACAGATGAATACCAAGGGACCCATGCTCAGCATTCTCCCTCAGACTTTTCTGAAAACCAAACAGTAAAGGAAAAGAAAGAAGAAACCCAGTGTCTTTAATTTCTTTTACTATTTTGATTCCTTTTTGGCTTGACATTAGGCTTGCTGTAAGGTCGCAAGCATCTCAAAGCTAAAATGAATGGGTAACAGTGGATTTGGGGATAGTGTAAATTCATCTTCAAATGTGGCCAAAGATTTAAAATAAAGCAGTAATGAGTATTTTTATTTTAGTAGTTCTTCTACACTCTGTAACATAGCAGAACACATTGACTTTAAACAACTCTCTAGAAATACTACGAACTTGCTACCTTATCCTACGAATTATTGTTCAGTGTTTTAAACTCAGTATTGAGGTATTTTGCAACTACAGCTTTTTTACCTGCAGTGTAAACTTTCTTTGTCTTTCTGTCTTTGATATGTTTTTATTTTATCAGTAATAACCTAAAAGTCTTTTCTTTTTCTCACAGTCTGACAGCAATGCAAGCTTCCTCCGTGCTGCCAGAGCAGGTAACCTGGACAAAGTAGTGGAATATCTGAAGGGGGGCATAGACATCAATACCTGCAATCAGGTAAGAGCATGACTCTGTACACAGGGAAGAAACACTCATTATCTATAGATATATTCCAAGAGCCCAAGGTTAATTTTTGTCCTTATTGAATTTACTAAAATATCAGTGATTCAGACTTATGAAAATCCATTTTCATCCTCTTACCAACTTTTGAAGCCTCAGACATTTGTGTCTAGACCTAATTTTGCAGCAAAGCAGATAGATCAAAAATAACAATTGAATGTCAGTTTTTGTCTATGAAATGGCTGGGCCTTGGTCAATAGCTGGAGTATTGACCAAGAATGATGTTTCACTTCTCATTTATCATCAACTAGTTATCCAGACTGGCTTCTTTTCTTCTCTGACATATGCATTTTACTCATAGGTAACTGAGTGTTAAAATTTGAGATAGAGAAATAAGAGAATAAAATAAAAATGATCTCTCCCTCCTTCCCTAATTATTTTTAAAATATGGATTACAATGAGAAGAGTTTGAAACTGTTGGCTTAAGTATGAAGTGTTTGGATTATCCATTCATTTACATCCATTCAGTAATGACTCCAGACAGTATTGTACATTTTGGATATTATTCAGTCCCATGGATATTGAGATTTTTGTGCTATTTTTGGACAAGATTTTTGTACCATGAATACAGTGTCTAGTAGACTTCAGTGTTCACTACAGTGTGCTAAATGTTGGTGGTGCATGTGTGTGTGTGTGTGTGTGTGTGTGTGTGTGTGTGTGTGTGTGTGTTTGACATAGCTGACTGGGAAGTGAGTAATCCTGGCTAATTTTAAGTGAACAGAAGGAAAATCTCATTGTTGGATTCTACCTTATCTATAGAATGCCCCTTTATATCCTGGTATATATTGAGCCCAGTTATGCTCAACCCATGGTTTCCTGAAATTAGTAAATCTTTCAAACACAATTTTTCAAAAAGTAGACATATTATCTCAAACTTACTCTCCTCTCAAACTTCTACCTGCTGATTTCCTCATCAATGTGTCAATTCCAACAGTTCTCCTATCATCTCCCCCTGTACCCACCAACCCAGCTCCAGTATGGCACTCCTTTCTTAGTCCATTTTCTACATCCATATTTCCATTAACTGAATCACCTCAGAGTCACTTATCATGGTTGCCATAATACCCTCCTTAATTAGGTTCTGTCCTCATCCTGTCCACTCTGGTCAATTTCTACACTATGCCTTGAGTTATTTTTATAAAGTAAAAATATAATTATGTCATTTCCCCCAACAAATTTCCAGTGGCTCCCAATGCTTAGATTAGTGAAGTGGTTGTACCAAAATCACTTGGAGGATTTTGCAAAGATTGCAGGATTTCCCTTGCTCCTCACCAGCAAGGGAGAGACGACTCTATGCTGAAAGTCACCAGCATAGAAAGCATTGTCACTGTTGGCAATATTTTTTATCCTTTAGAGGAATGCATTTCTTGGCATTAAAAAATGGTGACAGCCACTTGCTATTGGGAAAAGCAATATGCTGTTTCCCCAATATCTCTAGTATTCTTTTGAATATGACAAGAATTGAAGGACCCTGAATGTTCTTTATCTGGGCCATTTCTTAGAGTGTGCTTACAGTGAGCAACCTTAGGTACCATCTACCTCTTGACAAAAAGCAGGCTTCTTTTTTCTTTTTTTTTTTTAAGTTTATTTACTTATTTCTGAGAGAGAGCACAAGCATGCAAGGGGGGAGGGACAGAGAAAGAGAGGGAGAGATAGAATATGAAGCAGGCTTCAGGCTCTGAGCTATCAGCACAGAGCCTGACGTGGGGCTTAAGCCCATGAACAATGAGATCATGACCTGACCCGAAGTTTGACCCTTAACCGACTGAGCCACCCAGGTGCCTCAATGTGTTTTCTTATTATAAAAGCTGCGTCCTTCTTTAACATAACCCAGTGTGCACAGGCATCTATCATTGGCCCTGTGTGTCACTTCTGAGGGATTGGGAAGGGGCATAGGGAACTGACACAAGCAGCATGGTGACACTCAGCAAGGGCTTTTGCTGTGAATCATAAAGTCATTTGTCTCTGATCTAGGAAACTCTTACCTTCTGCCAACATCATGAAAGAGTAGAGTTTGACTTTTTAGCTTGTATGTGAGATAAAATTCCAGACCTTACATACTGACACTGACCTATGGAATAAGGCCAAATCCCTTTATCCCAATATATAAGATCTTCATATTCTGCATCTACATTCCTTTCTTTATCCATCTTATTTTCCATTAAGAATTGTTTTGATATGTTTCTCATGTTCTTTTGAACAAATAATTTGAACTTTAAGTATATTAGTTACTCTAAAAGAAAAAGAACATCTAAATTCCCATATGGATACATGAACTTCTTCCAAAAATGCCAATGAGACTAAATATAAAATATTTTTATAATTTTAACATATTGCCTTAGATATTTTAAAGTATATGAAATACATTCCCAAATTTTAATATTGATCCATTAAATTTCTAAATGTGCAACATGCTAGAGAATAGGCAATGAAACTATCAGTCCATTTAGGTAAAATTATCATCAATAATGCCAAAAAAGGAACCCAAGGAAAATGAAGTTGACTGCGGTCAAAGCAAATGCACTTAACCCAAAATTGTAACAAATATATTAATTGTATGAAGGATCTTAAGGGTTTTTTTAGGGTTCTTTGGTTTTTTTTTTTAGAAAAATAATCTCTCAGCAGTACTCAGTTTTTTTCTCCTCCTTAGACCAACCTAACTTTTTGAGTTACCTCAAAAACTTTTTAGTGCCTAAATTATTTTTCTTACAGTGGCCAACTGTCCAGTAACATGTTGCTATACAAGGGAAGAACATTTATTTTTGTGAATACGTAGCACAGTATCATGAAACCACACAAAACCTAGAGCCCAGAGACTACAATTTAAGTTGCCTAAGTTCCCTCTCCACTTTTGTCAGTCATTTCAATTCAGAAAGTGACACTTTTCTAATCTCTAAAACAAGATAATAATAATAATACATTCAATCTTATATCACTGGGTTGCAGGGTAAATTAAATTATTAAATAAGAAAGGAATTTTTAAGTTGTACATGTTCTAATTGCAATTAGTATATATAATTCACCAAGAATCAGAAAAATTAAAATTCAACTGCATACAACATATGAGATTGAGTCTCCTCAATCACCTGAATTTACTAGGTAAAAAGTAAGTATTGTTGTCTGGTGTTGGTCTTTATTATTACTATGCAAGGATGTACATTAAATAGAGATTAGACAGCCAGGTCACGATCTCGCGGTCCGTGAGTTCGAGCCCCGCGTCAGGCTCTGGGCTGATGGCTCAGAGCCTGGAGCCTGTTTCCAATTCTGTGTCTCCCTCTCTCTCTGCCCCTCCCCCGTTCATGCTCTGTCTCTCTCTGTCCCAAAAATAAATAAAAACGTTGAAAAAAAAATTTAAATAGAGATTAGAGAAATAAAGTGACTAATGTTAATTATTTAGCCACTGTGTATCAGGCTTTCCGCTGGGGTCTTTACATGTGATGCTTTATCAACCAGCAGAGACAAATGTTATGAGGTAGGTAGATATTTGCTGGAACTTACAAATGCAGAAACTGAGCCCACAAGTGGTTAAGTGATGTTCCCAGGGTCACACAGCTCTGCCTGTCTCCGGTGTACAAGTGTTTTATACTGCAGGACATTTTCCTGAGATGTTGGGATCTGTCTTTCAGGATGTACAATGTGGCTTCCTTTATCTTGAAGCTCAAATCTTCAAGATGTACCATTGTTAGTGTAAAAAGAGCTTTATTCATCCTTAACATAATAGAGATAGAGCGACTTTTAAATCAAAGTGCACCACTACCAGGATTACACTAAAACTCAAAATTCAGAGCTGAATATAATTTCTGAACACCTAAGAGGACAACTCTTCAGCCAAAATACAGCTGTATCTAGCAAATATGTAAAAGCTCAAAGTTACGATGGCATATGAAAGAAGAGAAGAAAAAGTGTCCATTATTTTGCTTGTAAGCCTGGGTTTCTGGGGAGCATCATGGCATGTGACACAGAAACCAGAACTTTCTGTACCCTGCTATATTTCTCAATGAAAGGCAATCTGGGCTGTACCAGCTTTCCAAAAATGTCGGGTGTGTTGGCGTTCTGAGATTCCTTAAGCTGAAATTTGGATGAAAATTTTTTTCCTTATAAAATTTGTCTCATGACTACCAGGAGAATTTTGAAATTTAATCCAAAAATACAGTTTGGCTTTTAATCACTTAAAGGATATGAGAAAAAAATTCATAATTTTGGCACAAAGCAATGTTCTTAAAAAACAAAGACGACTTCAAGTCTTCATTTTTCTTTTCCAAATGGCTAAAAAATCTGTTAACTTCTGTCTTCTCTAAAAGATAAAACTAGTAATTTATTTATTTTATTATCTCTTGTACACTCAGAAAAGAGAATAAATCTTAGCATTTGCTCCCGATCTGAAACTCATATATATGTAATGCTTTTATTTATTTAGTAATTATTCACAGTCTAATAATGTTATCAACAAGGTTAATGTCCAAACATTAAAAATAGACACTATAACCTTTTCATAAAAATAGTTATGGCCGGGCACCTGGGTGGCTCACTCCGTTAAGCATCTGACTCTTGATTTCAGCTCAGGTCCTGATTTCATGGTTTGTGAGTTCCAGCCCCCCACTGGGTTCTGTGCTGACAGTGGGGAACCTGCTTGGGATTCTTTCTCTCTGCCCCTTGCCTGCTTGTGCTCATCCTCACTCTCTCACTCTCAAAAATAAATAAATAGGACCTTAGAAAAAATATAGCCAATTACAAGTCAATAAAAGGCTCAGAAGATTCAGGTACTTTCACCAGGCATAAAATTTATTGGTTTCACTGCAGTGACTTCAAAATAAAGGTTATCACTTATCATTTATTGAATGTAATCCTGGAGATGACCCTGAAAGTTAATAGTCTTTAATATATTCTAATTTTTGGTCTTGACCTTTTACTACTGAGGTATAAAGGTGCAAAATTAC